ACCTTCTAAAGGTGTGTCTACCAAAATATATCCATATAAGTCTAGTGAAAGTCGGTGAAAGAGGAGAAAGTGACGAGCTTTTGTACCTCGCCTTCTTCTAGACAGCTTTCGCATACTATATTGATAGTATCTAGTCAGAACATTTTGCTAAATACAAACAGTATGAAGAAAGACTTACGGTTAACGTTGGGCTAAAAGGAACTCGCAGTCGCACAAGTTGTGGAATTTGAGCAGTACTCGCTTGGCTCACTAGAAGTTCATTGGTGCAGCGCTAAGACACTAGAGGAAATCATAAAACCAACTCGTTTCCAATCGCCTGAAAAGTTCATTGCGATCTCCTGACAACAGATTTCACCTCCTGCTCATCCTCTTAACTTAAGAGGTGTTTGAGAAAAAAGTCAGGAAAAACTTCAGTAAGACAGCGATATAGATTTTAAGGAAAATAATCGAATAAGTTGATAATTTGCGTGTCTCTTTGCGCCGAGCTTCTCGTATACCCAGCTTTCCTAAGTCGAATAGGACCTACCAGCGATGTCTAGAGATTTTCGGTGTTGTCCTTAGTGTATTATAAATTCCCATGAGGGCCGCTCTTTGAACACCCTCCAACTGCCAAGATATTGCTTTTTTTTTTGAATGTTCTTCACAACATAAAATATTATTAACTTAACTACGGTTTCATAAAGCCAGAATAACATATTTTCTGCGAAGACCCACTTCTTCGCAATTGCTGCTCTACAACAATATCAGGCGACCAATGCCTTGTTCAATCTCTCCATGCTGTTTGGCTTCCATGAGAGCTTTCTATCCAGCTTGATCAAAGCGCAATGTTATATTAGGAAGACACTTCTCATAACGTCTTACTTCGCTTTGAGACTAGCATAACTTAGACTAGTTGCTCCAAAGGCCTCTTTAGTGTTTTGTGGTACGCCACTAAATCTTTGCTCAACCGTAGCTTTAATAATATTCAAAGGCATATGTATCTTTCAGAAGTGCTAATTCGTGAGCTGAGCTGCCTTTCTATTTTAGAAACTTTCAAATATTTTAATACTCTTTCGGAGGGCTTAAAATTTCACTTTCAAATTATTTAAATCCGAAAGCTTGTTGCAAAACCAATTTACCGATAATTTCATTCCTCGAATCATGGTGATATACTTATACTAGTATGTACTTTTTACAATATTTTTTATGTCTCAGAAAAGTTAATTGCAAATATATTTTTTTGTTATGGTCTCAGTTACTAGACTTGACCTATCTTAGGTAGCGAAATAAAACATTAAATTTTTCTTAATCATAATACACTTTTGTATATTTTCTGCATTCAAATAACCACATTTTACTATCACTTTGCAGGTCGCCTCAAGTATCTAACATTGACCGAAGCGAATCGTGTATGGATGCCCGATTTGTTCTTCTCAAACGAAAAAGAGGGTCATTTCCACAACATAATCATGCCGAATGTTTATATACGCATCTTTCCCAATGGTTCCGTATTGTACAGTATTCGTATCTCGCTGACGCTGGCTTGTCCAATGAATCTCAAATTATATCCTTTGGATCGACAAATATGTTCACTACGCATGGCTAGTTGTGAGTGCAAAGAAATAGCAAAAAAAAACCGAATGAAATTATAATTTTCTTGTTTTAAACATGCGTCTTTAAGGGGGTATGCTAGTGTAGAAATAAAATAAAATCGTTTTTGTTTATATTAGGTTGTCAAAAAAGTCTTGCGGTATTTTCGCTAATTGCGTATTTTCGCTGAGAGCGCGTAGTTCTAGTTTTATTCGTCGCAGCGGGTCATGCTATACCTTTTTGGAAAGCTCATTTTCACGCACTAACATGTGTTTGATTGATTGTCGTTTCTTTTAAGTCGTTCGTGAGTTATAGCGTCGCAAACATGTAGCAAAATAAAGAGAAAATGCGGCATTTTTCACAGTACTACTACGATAAAGGCAAAAATGCATCTCAAGCCGCCAATAAAATTTGTGCAGTTTATGGAACCGATACAGTTTCCATTTGCACCGCACAACGATGGCTTCAACGTTTTCGTTCTGGTGTACCACGCTTCGGAAGGCCTGTCGTCGAAAATTGCGATAAAATCGCTGAATTGGTCGAAAGAGAGGCATAGTAGCAGCAGTAGCATCGGTTAAGAGTTGGGCATGAGTTATCAAAAAAATTTTATGAACAATTGAAAACTTAAAAAAAATTCAATAAAAATAACGCAAAAATACCGAAAGACTTTTTTGACAACCTAATATTTTTAAAGTTAAACTATTCGAGAGGCATTTTGAAAATTCATGTAACTTACGGAAATACAGGTATTATTTTCATATTTTGCTGAAATGGCAACCAAACAGGTTCGGCCGTAACTGAAACTTTAACGAAACCTTTTTTACAAAACTATACCCGCGTACTCTCAGATTCTATTGTATTGTCGTATCGGAAATTTAGAAAATTTCTCGAGAGTTTTCTTTATAGACCTAGCTATATCTGGAACTAACTGTATACTCAGTATTAAATTTTACTATTATTCTTAAAATTGGAAACCAACATAAAAAAAATATAATTATTTTATTTTTTCAAACAGTCGACGTTTCGTGTAAAATTGTTTTTTATAAGGTAGTCGAAAAAGCCTTTTTGTATTTCTAATTAAATTTCTACTTATCTTTTTTTATATATATAATGAACTATAATGAACCAAATATGCACCATTTTGGTCGACCACTTTTTGCCATTTTTCCGCYAGAGACATTAATCCATCAGTGTAAAACTTTTCTGTTTTCAAAAACCTGGTACTTCGATAGTGCAAGGTCAGAGCAATATGGTGGATGCATCAAAACTTCTCAGTCAAACTCTTTCATTTTTTGCCGAGTCATCAAAGATGTGTTTGGTCYAGCGTTGTCCTGATGGAAGTTGTAGCCCAATCTTTTGATCAGTTCTGGCCGGTTTATTCGATTGCTAGCTTCAATCTCAACAGTTCCTGACAGTAAAATTGTAGAATCAATCGTTCGACCAGGCTGGATCAGCGCATAGTGCATGTTTCCTTTCCACTAACACGAACACTCAGCATAATTTTTCAAGGCGTCACTTCTGGCGTTGCGACCATTTATTGGACCATGATCTTTGTCGCACATTATTGTCATATGGGTCTCGTCTATTCCTCTCCGGTTATCATTCGCTTCAGAATGGTTCGATTTGCTTTCGTTTCAGCAAGGAATCGCAGATGTTAATTCGGTTAATTAAAWTTTTCACAAACAATTGTTGTGGTGCCCAAATATCAAGCTTATTTTTGTAGCCAGCCTTTTATAAATGGCTCAAAACCGTTTGATGATGAGTGTTCAGTTCCTTAGCAATGTCACGGCTGCTTATATGACGGTCCTCTTCGATCGTTTCTATAATTTTAGCGACTTTTCCAACGATGGGTCGACCAGAGCGAGGTGCATCTTTCACATCGAAATTTCCAGAACGAAAGCGTGCGAACTATTGTTGTGCTACAAGAACTGATACAGCATTGTCTACGTAAATTTCAAAAATTTTATTGGTGGCTTGCGGAGCATTGTTCCCTTTTTATAAAAAAAAATTTTCAAAATATAGCGAATTTCTTCATTTTTTCACTCATTTTTGAACAACTTTCCCGAATTAAATTTTTTTTTTGTTAAATGAAGCTTAAAATCACACCTTTCCAACACTATATGACGCAAAGTGATTAGTAGCACTCGAGATATACTATACAACTGCAACGACATATATGGATAAAATACGAAAAGACTTTTTCGACTACACATATTAATTGATTTCTTTTACAATATTACAAAATTTACTTGAGGTTCATACCGCTAAACTAGCAAATTCCTTTAGGCATAAATGTCACCACTTATATATAATATATACTTTTAGATGTATGTATAATATCAAATGTTGTTTACGAAGTTCACGAATTTTTAGCACTATTAATGATTCACAGTGAAGTTAACTCACTTTTCACCTACCTTAATTACAGTAATTATTGAATTATTTGTGGATTTATACCATCCTCTCTACTGCTGTTGAAATTTTGTGTATTTTACTTAGCGTTTAATCGAATTTCAATTTTCACAGATGGTTGGACAACAAACGATCTGGTATTCCTGTGGAAGGAGGGCGATCCCGTGCAAGTGGTTAAGAACTTACACCTACCTCGCTTCACACTTGAAAAATTCTTGACTGATTATTGCAACAGTAAAACGAATACGGGTATGTTGTCTCGACAGTTCCTATTTGGTTTTCTTAAAAAAAATTTCTGCGTTGCTAACAAAATGCAAAGTTTAAAGAAATAACATTTTATGAAAACAAGTGATATTTTATTATTGTTTGTGTCATTTTTGAAATGTGAACTCGCCATACAATTTGCATTAACTGTACCACACGGTGCCTACATACGACCGCATTCATATTAAAATGGAATATATTCTATTAACGAGCATAATGTTTTACAAATATTTAGTATATTTACATATATACAATTAGTTATCGATAATAATTATGCAATTGTCTAATTTCGTTGAAAAATTTATTTAACTGCTTCTTTTATGTAACTGCCTACATATATACATATATAATTAATATTTGAATTTATATACTTGTTGATGTTTTCCGTTGTGCTTGTTTACACTTACTTAAATATGTAATTAATTACATTCCTTACTTTCATTTCATAAGTAATATTTTCGAAAACATGCAAAATATGCAAAGAAGAAGTTGTTTGTTAACCAAAATACCAGTAATATTGCTTACCGCCCACCTACACACGCACACACACACACAGCCACATAGACTTATACCTACAAGTATGAATAACTACACGCACACACATGCCCACACACACACCATACCACCATTAAGCATACTCACCACCAGCACTTGACGCAGTCGCGTATGTATAACCCCAACCGTGCATCAGCAGGGAATTCGGCGTTTAATAAATTGTAGTGCTAGAGAAATGCTAAAAGCTAGTATCATACTAAATGACAGTTTAAGAATATGATATTTCAGCATAACGAGGTAGCTGTTTAAAAATAGAAATTTCCTCTCAATTTAAAAACACATTATTCTATTTTAATAATGTTTCTTTAATTCTAATTATCTTATGCATGCTTCTTAGCTTTGAGTTTTCTATTAGATTGAGTCTTTTATGAATTCTTAAATCGTTAGAACTCGTGCTTGCTTACCGACAAAAGAGTTGTATAGTTATTCTCACTTACCAATAGTAAGTTTTAAGAGTAACCTTGGCTCAAAAACAAAGAAATCTTTTGTGTAGGTTGGTAGATAGTAGATTGGTTGTATGGCAAGGCACATAGGTCTTTCCTATCTCAAGGTGAAACCACCGTTACTAAAATCCCCTTACTACATTATGTCCTCTCTGAACCTCTCTGTGCGCCTGATGAAGTTCATCTTACCAGAAGTTTGCAAGCTCCGAGACATTTGCAAAAAACGCAGCGGAGTGTTGTGATTCTTTACCTATACAAAGCTCTGCACTTGCATAGAATTTGCACTTTAATCTCCTCCTCAGCTACCTGCTCTACATCAAGTCTACTGGTACGTCTGCCAATTAGACAGTAATCTGTTAGCACTCCTACTAGCATATTACATATACGAAGTTATTTCTTATCGTAAGCACCCCTTTTTTGGCAGCGTAAGTAGACTTTCTTTAGTAGTCGGAAGGTGATTTTGATATCAAATTTTGCTGAGAAGACACCACCTTATACTTCATTATCTAGGCTAGGTGAGTTAGGTGGCTTCGTTCCACTCTGAAGTCTACCTCTTAGTTGTAGCGTAGCTTTCAAAGGCTACTGGAATTCAAGAGAAATTTTGCATGTCAAAAATAGAATTAAAAGTTTGGTATGGAACAACTCGGTAGGTCCTTAACGCTTCTGACGGAGCTTTTGATGTTGCTCAACGTCAGTTTACACAGCCGTAATAGTTTTGCGGGGATACCGAATTCAGACATCGCGGCATAAAGGCAGCTCCTTTTCGTGCTATCGAAAGCAGCTTTGAAATCGACGAAGAGGTGGTGAGTGTCGATTTTCCTTTAACGGGTCTTTTCCAAGATTTGGCGCATGGTGAATATCTGGTCGGTTGTTGATTTTCCAGGTCTGAAGCCACACTGTTGACGGTGAGCTTTAATCTTTCACACAATACGCTCGATAGACGATATGCAATATTGAGGAGACTTAGCCCACGGTAGTTGGCGCAGATTGTGGGGTCTCCTTTTTTAAGAATTGGGCATAGCACACTTAAATTCCACTCGTTTGACATGGTTTCGTCCGACCATATTTTATAAAGAAGCTGATGCATGCTCCTTATCAGTTTTTCGCCGCCATGGTTGAATAGCTTGGCCGGCAATCCATCGGCCCCCGACGCTTTGTTGTTCTTCAGGCGGGTAATTGCTATTCGAACTTATTCCTGGTCGGGCAATGGAACGTCTGCTCCATCGTCGTCGATTGGGGCATCGAGTTCGCCTTCTCCTGGCGTTGTGCGTTCACTGCCATTCAGCAGGCTGGTTCTCCAGTTCCCTCCATAGTTTAAATATGCTCTGAGCATTGGTGACTAGATCACCTTTGGGGGTTCTACGAGAGTATGATTCGGTCTTGAAACCTTCTGTAAGCCGCCGCATTTTTTCGTAGAATTTTCGAGCATTACCCCTATCGGCCAGCTCCCAAGCCCAGCGCACAACCCTATGTAGGGGATATTTCGCCTTCTCACTTTAGCTCGCCTTCAAACGGATGTTCTTAGGCTACCCAGAGGTTACTTGGTTAAAGACCGGAAGTCGCGAGCTGCTTGAGTCATATGTAAAAGAATCGTTTCTGGCCACTCCCAAGTGAATGTCGATCAGAAAACTTTCCTCTTCTTGAGAACTTCCTCACTTGGCAAAAAATAGTAAGACTTTTTAATTCGCATGAAAAGCCATTCGTCAAAATTTTTTTTTAACTTGGCAACATCTATGCCACATGTCACATCAAAATAATCAATAGTGTCTAGTATATGCTTGATTTTCTGAAGTACATAAAGTGCATTCGGCGATTTTAATGATGAATTCAATTATTCAACAAAGAATTTTCATAGAATTTTGTGTGCGGAATTAAATTTCTGGTGCCGCGACTTTCAAAATGTTGGAAAGGCCTTCGACGACAACTGTTTGTTGGGAGTAAGTCTTGTTGATTGGTGAAAATTATTCAAAAGGGATCGCTAACGAGTTGACGACGAACCACGTCCACGACGTCCATCATTATCAACAGTTGATCAACACGTCTATAAAATAAAGGAATTGGAGCTTTAGAATCGACGACTAAAAGTCAGAGATCTTACTGATTAGAATATCGTAAGGATCAGTGAAGACCATTTTGAAAGATCATTTGGGTCTAAGAAAAGTGAAAGAAAGCACGATTCGTACCAAAACCACTAATTTTTTTCGAAAAATAACGTCGCGTTAACGACTGTGAAACAATGCTTTTCGACTATCAGGATTCATGAAACGTATTATTACGGGTGATGAGTCCTGGAGCTACGCTTACGATTAATCGGCCAAATGCAAARGTGAGCCGAAGCCGAAAAATCCACTTTAAAGCAGGTCAAAAGTCAATATTACTGCATTGATATTTCATTAGTGTTTTGACAAATTTTCAACAAATTTCATGCCGCAACTACCGTGTTCACCTGATTTAGCTCCGCATGACTTTTGTCTATTCAGCAAGCTCAAATTAACGTTCGGGGGAAACCCTTTTGGAGGCAATTGAAGACATTAAAAGTGAATCGCTATGCGCATTGAAGACTATTTCGGAAATTGACTTCAATAAMTGTTTCGAGGATTAGAAACAAACGTTGGTACAARGGAAAGGGACGACATACATAGAGTTTGAAGTATAAATTAGTMATTTWAAAAAAATKAACAAAGTCTTACYATTTTTTGCTCAAAGCAGTAYGTATAAGCAAGCYCTGRGCSGATATTTGTTGCAGCTTTTCTCATCCTTCCTGGCAGAAGTTTAGCTTCAATTGTATGCTTCTATTTCTGAGCTAGTGCTTTTTAGACATATGCTCTTTTTAACGAAATCAACTTAGCTCTACAAATTTCTTCACATATATCTATTTACTTAATAAACTATTTTACTTTTTCATGTACCATGGGGTATTTAGATCTCTACAAATTCTTTCAGTAACATGTAGTTTCAAAATTTGGCTTACAAAATGGGAAATAACACACAACTGCTGAAGCTCTCTGTCTACTTATGTAACAAGCTGTAAGGTATTGCATGCAGCTCACATAACTGTTAACCAGCTGATTCTGGCGCGCATTTTTTTGAAGCCCTGGAAGATGCTTGTTTTTATATCAAGAAGCAAATATTTTATTTTAAATACATATACAATTTTTTGCTAGTTTATGAATATTATACATATTGGAGTGCCATACCATACATATATCGATTCGTAAGTTAAAATTTAAGAAAATTAATTTGTGCATTTTCGAAAACTCAGTGCCAATAATTTTCTCAGCCAAGCAAATATACTGTCACACTATTTTCAGTAATTAATATTCATTTGCATTTTGAGTTTGAAGCATGGACTTTTGAAAATTTTAAATATACTGTTATATTCATTTAAATATTATTGCAATATTAGAAATTCTACATTATTTTTGAGACATTTTAGTATTTGTTACAATATTTTCTTTGATTGAAATAATACATTCACACAAAAAATGGCGAAATATTTAAAGCAATCCACTAAATTAGTTGAAAGTAGCAAAATAACTGAAATAAAAAACAATTAAATAAAAATCGTATGCATTTTATAAACAAAAATATATACATACATACAAATGCAGAAATAGTATAGTAAAGCGGTAAATTTAATTACTAAAAAAATTAGTTTGAATGGTTTAATACTTTTAGTTGCCGTTGTGCATTTGGTGTTTAGAACAGTTAGAAAATATTAGACAACGCGCAACATTAGCGGCATTTCTGAATAGCTTACTTTATGTACACAACACTGAGCACTGACTAAACTTAACTTAGATGACAATATAGTTATATACATTTTGCTTAACTTTTTAATAAAATTTTATTGCTATAAATGCAAAAAACTGTTAAAAAAAAATACTAAAAACCACAACTAGCGCCAATTCATGTGGCGATTTTTCGGCGAAATTCGAAACATAAACTACACACACACATACACGCTTACACACATGCATAACCAAATACACACACATAATTTATATAATCACAAGCAACAACTACGCAAATAACATAGAAACTCTCAAAACTTTCAGAACTACCAAACTTACATACTTAACTTTCCACCCAATTTTGCGTATTCTGCGAAGAACTTCACAATGCAAGACAAATTGAAATTGGACAATAAATGAACAATTCTATATGCCAGATGCATTGATGAGATAGATTGGGAAAATCGAATTTAAAACTACGTAAAAACTTGAGAAAAAAATCAATGAAACTCTAAGAGAAACAAAAACTTGAAAAATAATGTAATGCAAGAAGTTACAAAAATATGAGAATGTGTACTAATAAACAACTTTGTCTTGAAGAGTATGGAACGCTTGGTCAACAAATTAACGGAAATGAACAATAGAATGTATTCTTAAAAATTACAAAATAGCATATATTTACAATTTTCGAAAATACGTTTCAATTCCGTTAACATTTTTGTTGCTATACGAAGAAAAACTCTCGAAAAAAAATCTAAAACCGCTGCTGTTATTTATGTTTGCCTATGACTAAAAAAGAAAAACTTATCATTTTTGACTTATTGCCTTTTTGGTTTTTCGCAAAAATGCAGTGTTCTTTCTAGTGCAAAAAAGTCGCTTATGGAAGCAAAAAACACAAAATGAAATGTCATTCTTAGAAAAATGTCAACAAAACGGATAAAAGTAAATTATTATTTAAAAATTAAAAAAAAAAATATAAATTAAATAAAAAATCGAAACTTTTTTCAATTTCTAATTTTCTGCTATATGGCAGCTTGAAAGCATAAAACACGAAGTTTTCTAATTATCACTTGAATAATTTTAATTTAATTGTTGTTAATGGTAATTTGGAATATTATCAGTATCAATAGATATAATCAACTGATGAGGGTTTGAGCCGTTTCAGCTTCCAATTTRAATTTTTAAGGTCCGACGCAGACGCAGTTTGTCTTATTGTATCATTCCATACCGAGGAATGGGAAAAAAAAAGAAAAAGGAAAAAAACAACAGAAACTTCAATTTTAATGGAGAATGTTTATTTTCATTCAAAAGAACAATCCTTGGCATTTACTTTTAAACATTATCTCTTTCAAATATTGGCCGCGGCTACGTTTCAGACGGTCCATCCGTTGAGCTACAATTGTCGATGACTCGTTCGAGCATTTCGACTGGTAATTGGTGAATGACACGCGTAATGTTTTTCTCCAAGGCCTGAATCGAACGGGATTGTTCGCATAGACTTTAAACTTTACATATACGCGAAGAAAGAAGTCTAACTGTGTGATTTCACACGAACTTGATGGCCAATCGACCGACCGAAAACGTGAAATTATYTGCTCACCGAAGTGTTCTCTCAATAAATCCATTGATTGTTGCGATGTGTGGGAAGTCTTGTTAACACCAAATGGCGCCGAGATCACGAGCTTCAATTTTAGGCATTGTCGGTGATCACGACCGRTCGCGGTAACTGTCGCCACTGACGGTTACGTTCTCACGGGCATCATTTTATATCAACATATACATACATATCTCTTATCCTTCTAAATTTTTATTACATTTTAAATCCAAAAATGCCAATTTTTTACTCAACATTCTCTGAAATATTATCTGAATAAATTATTCAAAAAGTATGCCTAGTACAKCCTATAACAAGATGTATTTTAAAAATACTTGAAATAATATTTTAATTGATTCTAATTTTGTATCACAGCATAGTCGAGCGTTCTTCAGATATGAAAATGTCGTTCCATTATAGGTGTACCATTAAAGTAGAAGAAAAATAAGAAAATTCAATACTCTACACACTAATTATATTCTGMGTAGGGTTAACTGTAAATTACTAAGTAATTTAATATTCACTAAATAAAATAGCTTGTATTCTTTTTCATCTTTCGGATAAGAGATTGCTATCATGCCCATAAAATTGTTGACCCCAAGGACTAGATAMCTCTGGAGAATATGTTGGGTATGATGATACAAGCTGCAAAAACTTTTGGCGGGTCCTCAAACTATTACGGGTTTCGCATTATTCTCTTGGAACYTTTTCTGTGAATCAATTTAAGTTTCCTCTCTTTCAGTACATCATTCAATTTGTTCAGCTGACAAGTCTTCAGACTGTTGTCGGACAARAGTTCAAAATAAACGAACGCCTTTGAAATCCCACCAAACAGACAACATACTCCTCTCTTGGTGACTATCGGCTTTCAAAATGTTTTTAGCCGGTCCATCCTTTCTAGG